AAACAGAATTATTTGTGTTTTGGAAGAATGATTATAAAGCTTCTTGGGGTAAGGTTACTCCTAAAGGAAAACAGATGGTCATTAGCCTAAGACTGGGGGTCAAGTTACCAGCAGGGTTATTTTACTGAGAGGGACATGTGAGGGCCTGGCTCTTTTCAGGTCCTGCTTCTACAAACAGCCTCTCCTCTAAGTAAAACTGAGCGAAATGTAAAAGAAAATCAGTGTAACGATGTGTTCACTAAAACATTAGCCTTCCAGAGACACCAGACTCTTAGTATAGGGCCGGGAATTTAGCTCAGTGGCATCAGTGCCTGCCTGGCAAGCGTGAAGTTGGGTTTGATCCCCGGTATCTCCCCCCCAACAAAAAAGACTCTTAGTATAGGGAGCGACCCATGTGCTGATCCCTCCTTGACAGAAGAGAAACTATCTGAAAGGCTACTAGAGCAGATCAAGATGAGGAGCTGAGGCTGAGGTTGGCTTCAGTCTCCAGCTAGAGAGAGAGAGAGAGAGAGAGAGCGCGAGCCAGAGGAGCCAAGAAAGAGGGGAAAGTGTTTCCCATGCACACACACAACAGCTGGGGCTGGTAGTACAAACCTGTAATCACAGCACTCTGGGAGGCTGAAACAGGAAGGGCCGCAAGTTCAAGTCCAGCCTGGGAAATTTAGCAAGATCCTGTTTCAAAAATAAAAGATGAAAAATGGCCTGGAGATACAGTTCATTTTCAAAGTCCAGAGTTCAATCCCCAGTACAGGACCACACATATAAAAATAGTACAAATATCCATCTGTGTATACAAAATGTGACTGAAAATAGGATGAATAAATTTAAAAAAATTACAGCCGGGCATGGTGGTTCACGCCTGTAATCCCAGTGCTTGGGAGGCTGAGGCAGGAGGATCATTGTGAGTTCAACACCAGCCTGGACTACAAAGTGAGCTCAAGGCCAGACTGAACTGGGTAGAGAGACCTTGTCTCAAAAAAAAAAAAAAAAAAAAAAAAAGTTACATATTATCATTAATTCCCTTTATTTTGGACACACTTACCCCATCATGCTTGCTACTTTCTGAATCAGTCTGGGAAGTCCTTTTTTATGTCATTAGTTGTGCTGTGGTGGCTGCCTTGACATCCTGAATTCATTCAAAACACTTACTTTTCATAGTCCTTTTGACTTTGGGGAAGAGCCAGAAGTCTCACGGTGACAGATCCCATGAACAAGGTGGAGGAGGGCACACTATCATTTTGTGCCTGCCTTTCCATCGGCCGGCACAGAGCAGCAGCATTCACTGTATTTTTGATCATACGTTGTAGATATCAGGAAAAAGAATTTCCAGAATGGCTTTAGAAAGTCCAAGAACAACAGGTAACTGTTCAAAGCTCTGGGGAATATTTTAGACAGATTAATGGCAATACGTCTTTTACTGTAATGAATTTTTAAAATTTAATTTTTTTTTTTTTTTTTTGGTGCCAGGGATCGAACTCATGATCTCACATTTGTCAAGCAGACATGCTGCTGAGCTAAACCTCCAGCTCAAACTTAAATAGTCACCATATATTACAGATACATTATACACACACAGGGAAATAGGGTTTTACTTGTTCATAGGATTGCAGTTGAGAATTTTGTAATCCTTAAAAATATGTTATGAGTGATTCTCAATTCTAGTAAAAGACATATTCCAACATTGTAATAAATAAAGCTAGGACTAATTCATTTGCTTTAATGCTTTTTTTGGTTTAAATATATTAAAGTTAAAGCATTCTCTTACCAATGGACTTTTAAGCAGTTTCCAATTTTTGCCACTACAAAGATGCAACAGACATTTTTGTATTTCTATCCTTATGTAACATAACCTCCTGCAGCAAAGATGGGTTTTGAGATCTTAAACATTTCATTTATTTTTCTAAATTTTTAAATTTTTAATTTCAGGGGCTGGGGATTTAGCTCAGCGGAATAAGCACCTGCCTTGCAAGCAGGTGATCATGAGTTCGATTCCCAGTACCAATAAAAAAAAATTTAATTTTTGTCTTAAATATCTTTTTTTTTTTTTAATTTTTTGGGGGTGGGGAGTGGTGACAGAATCTTACTCTCTGTTCCAGACTGGACCTGAACTCACAATGATTCGCCTAGCTTGGCCTCCTAGCATGTAGGCATAGGCCATCAGGCCCAGCTTCTAAATATCTTAAATTTTCATAAATACTATCAAATTATTTTTCCAAAAAGGGGGACTAATTCTGATTTGTCATAGTATAACTGCCTGTTTTTCCTACATTCTAACACTACACATTTCTCTTTATTTGAATTTTTGCCAATCTGACGGACAGAAAATAGTATTTCACATTTGCCTTGATGTGCATTTATTTGGACACTACATTTTTTTTTTTTTTATCGGTACCAGGGAGCGAACTCATGACTGCCTGCTTGCAAGGCAAGTGCTTATGCCGCTGAGCTAAATCCCCAGCCCCTGGATACTACATTTTTAAATTTTTGTTTTGCGGTACTAGGGATCCAGCTCTGGACCACTGACATTCCAAACCCTTGATTTGTAAGTTTGAGCATATTAATTATGCTTCTCTATCTGATTTTCTTTCCTACTAGGAAGAACTCTTTCAGCCGTATGACTATGTTACAGATGCTGTGTTGTCCTTTGGTCATTATTTCTCCATCGCAGGCATTTGCTGCTGCCTGGGGCTGCCACTGCCCTGAGTGGCCTCCAAGGAGCCAGACACAGACTGTGTCTGAGAATATATCGTGACTGCTCTGGACTGTTTAGGTGTCACAGATGACAACACAATGCGGTGGCTCCTGGTCTGTTAGCTCTGATTTGTGCCACTTCAAAGAGTCTTTTATATACATTTCTGCACCTCACTGCAGTAAATCAGGCAGTCAAGCTCCCAATTTCTAACCCAGCCCACTTACCCTGCTATAACCCCTCCTGTCTGAAAAACAGAAGCACTGAGAGAGGGTTCTCTGACACTGTCTGATGAGCTTGTTTCAGTCCCCAACACATTATTTTCTTCATGACACCAATCATATTGGCAGGAATACTGCTATTTTATTTGACTCCCCAAGATAGGTTATAAATTAGGCTATAAACTGCCTCATTGACTCTTTTTTTTTGGTCTTTTTTGTTTTTATCGGTACCAGGGATCAAACTCATGACTGCCTGCTTGCAAGACAGGCACTTATGCCACTGAGCTAAATCCCCAGCCCCACCTCATTGACTTTTAACTCTAGTACCTAGAATGCAAATACCAGTAGGCCTTCAGCAGATGTTTACTTAAGAATGAAGTTTCTGGGAAATAATCTACAGGATGTTTAAGTAACTATATCACCCAGCCTGTTTCTATTTATTTAGGTTTGTTGAGACAGGGTCTACATATTGTAAGATGGTCTTGAACAAACAATGTAGCTCAAACTGGCCTCAAACTCATGGTGATCCTTTTGCCTCAGCCTTCCAAGGACTGGGATTACAGGCCTAGACTACCATGCTATTATTTTTGAGATAAGGTTTTGCTAAATGTTAAATTATCCAGGCCAGGCTGAAAATTATGAGCCTCCTGCCTCTGCTTCCCAGGTTCCAAAAATTTAAAACATTGCTATTGATCTTTTGGGTCTTCTGAAAAATTTCAAAATTTAAGGAATAGATCAGATCAAAAGTGAATGAGCAGCTGGGTGTGGTGGCACAAGTTTATAATCCCAGCCCTCAGGTCTTTGTGAGTTCGAGGCCAGCCTGAGATTAGTAGCCAAACCCTGTCTCAAAAACAAAACAAACAAACAAACAAAATGCAGAACACTTTTGAGAGACACAACATCTTGAGGGAATTGATCCTATTAGTGTTCAAAATTTGCATTTGAAAGCTGGGCACACCTATCATCTCAGCAGAGACACCAGTCCAATACAGTAGCTGATCCTCAAACCCAGACGGCCTAATTGCAGATGTGGGGGGCCATTCTATCACGTAGGAAATCAGGGTCATTTCTTCTCCCCAGAGTTTTAGGCCAACCTGGCCTACACAGTGAATTCAAGACCAGGCTGAATTGCATAGTGACATGACTCAAACCAAAAACAAAACAATTGCTTGATTTTGGACTCTTAGAGATATAAAAGACTCTAAATAAAATTTCTAGCTTTTCAAATAAAGACTCATCTGAATTGCCGTTAAATAGGGACATATCTACCACTCTAAAGAAAAAACTTACTAGAATTTCATTGGAAAATATGAAATAGTGGCATCTCACAAGATTTTCAAACTAGCTTTCAGCCTATCCACAGTTATTTTGTTTTTTCGAGCAGACTTGCCTCTAAAATGCCTTTGATCTCAGTGCCCTTAACTTGCTAGGTTCTTTACTCTTGTTTTCTTTTTGGAACTAGTGCAGGCAAATACAATTGCGTTTCACACGTTAAATTTGTATCCTGCAACTGTTGTTTTGTTGCTGTTTTGAGACAGGGTCTCATAAGCTGAGCTTGAACTCAGGGATCCTCTTGCCTCAGCCTCCCAAGTGCTGGGAATACAGACATGCACCACCATACCCACCATGGCAATTTGCTAGGTTTTACAAATCCTGTTTTAATTGTTTTTACCTCGTTTGGTTTATCAACACAAACACACATACACCTGGTGAAACTCAGGCTTGAGTTTAAGTCATCACTGGAAACATTAGAGGCATTTGCGGGGTTTATTATTGGGCTGTGGACAGTTTAGCGCACAATCGAAGCAGTTTTGTTTTCATTTGTCAAGCCACCTCAGCTTCGCACTCTGACTCTCCCGCAAACCAGCCAGGACTGCGAAAGCTGCTCTCCTCCCAGCAGCGCCAAGCCAAGCCAGCCACCTAGAGACCGGAAGCGCCCGGCCCCGCCCCCGCCCTCCCGCAGACGCGCTCGCCCGGTGCATTGTGGGCGCTGTAGTCCGGCTGGAATCCGCGCGACCACAAGTCCCGTGACGCCTGAGGTCCGCGGCACTGCTCCCGCCCCCCTTGCCCCTCCCCGGCCTCCGTGGGCCTGGCGGCCCGGGGCGCGGCGTTCCGGCGACTCAGCTGTTTGTCCCCAGGCAGAGAGGCGGAAGCCCGCGGGGCGAGGGAGGAGCTTCGCGCGGGGTGGACGCCCACACTACGTGCTCGTTCGCCTCGCGACCGCTGCGCGCGAGCCCGAGTCTCCGCGGCGGGCGGCGGCGGCGGCGTCGGTGGAACGCGAGTGGGCGGCGGGAGCCCGCGGCGGCGGCGGCGGTTACGGCGAAATGGCGGAGACCGTTGCGGACACCCGGCGACTCATCACTAAGCCGCAGAACCTGAATGACGCCTACGGGCCGCCCAGCAACTTCCTGGAGATCGATGTGAGCAACCCGCAGACCGTGGGGGTCGGCCGGGGCCGCTTCACCACCTACGAGATCAGGGTCAAGGTGAGGCCGTCTTCCCGCTCCGTCGCCCCCGCGACCCTGGCGCGCCCCCGGGGCTGCGGCGGCCGCTCGGGCGGGACCCCTGCGGCGGGCGGCCCAGTCGGCGGCGGGCCGGGGCGCGAGCCGGGCGCCGCTCGGGTCGGTGGGGGCTGCGGAGGGAGCCCCGCGGCGGCGGGAGAAGGTGATCCTGGAGGAAGGCGTGGGTTGAGCGCCGCTCGCCCCGTAAGCAGCTGATCTGGGAATGACATTGGAGTTGGAAAGGGAGTAGATCTTTCGAGAACATGGCCCTTCGCCGGCAAGAGTGTGAAGTGTGAAGTTGAAACCTTCGCCTTCTCCTGGAGACTCCCCAGAGGTGGCCTAGCCACCGACGCCGGTTACTCTACGCCTTTTCAAGCTACCCAACTAACTGACCTAGGTTAGGTTGTACACTCTAGCAGAACTGGACGGGAGCTGAAAAAATCCCGACGAAATTTTCATTGGGCTGGGCCAGGTGTGAGCAGTGGTTGGAAATGGTTTACTTTGGCGTTCTTGAGGGTCATCCTGCTAAAGGTCGAGGCATGGGGATTGTTGCCTACCTCATCCAAAACTATTATTGCTTTAAGAAAATGGTATTCTTTTAGGGAACTTGATCTCTTTTAATTTCGGCTTTTGCATTTCACTGAATGAGGATCAGTGGAAGAACAAACAATGTTATAACTCATTCGTTGGTAGTAAATAATTCACTTGCTTTGAAAGGTGCTAATTGAGACTGTCACCTCACTTTCACTTGATAGTTCAGGCCTAAAAAACCTTGCTCACAGAGCTGGGCTTGGCGGCCCAAGTCCATCCCAGCACTTGGGAGACTGAGGCAGGAGAATCGCCTCTAGTTTGAGACCATCCTGGGCTACAAAGTGAGCTCAAAACCTGCCTGAACTGCATAGTGAGACCCTGTCTCAAAAAGACAAGACTAAAAAAAAAAAAAACTTGCATATCTATGGACATAATGTTTACAAATTACAGTACATTAAACTGATTCAGCTGTTAGACTACAAATTTATTAAAATTAAACCTAAAATAATTTTGCTTTAGAATAATGAAACTTACATAACAAGTTACTGTTAACAGTTCAGTAATTTCTTTCTTTTTTTTGCTTTTTGATAGGAGCTCACTGTGAAGTTCAGGCTGATTTTGAACTCACTATGTAGGCCAGGTTGCCCTGGAAGTTGGTGTGATCTTGCCTCAGCCTTCCCGAGTGCTGAGATCACAGGTGTGGGCCACCGCACCCAGCAAAGAGCAGTAACTTAATTTATGCACTTTTGTGTGTGTGTGAAAAACACAACATAAGATTTGCCATCCTATTTTTATGTGTAAGTACAGTTTATTCATATTGTGAAACTTTAAAAAATGATTCTTTTTTTTTTAAATAAAGACTGGCTCACCAGGTAATTCAGGCTGGCCTTGAACTCACTCTGTAGCCCAGGCCTGCCTCAGTGGGGATCCTCCTCCCCTACGCCTCCTGAGTTGTGGGATTCTGGGCAGTGCCACCATACCCACTTTAAGAATGATTCTTATGGAAGTGTTGCTAAAAGAAAAAGTCATCCAACTTCATTAAAAGACGAAAGTAACAGTTTGATAAGCCAGTGTGTCTCTCTTGAGATGTTTAAAATGTGAGCCATAAACTGTGTTTATAAAAGTAAGCAAAGTGAGGGGCTGGGGATTTAGCTCAGCGGCATAAGTGCCTGCCTTGCAAGCAGGTAGTCATGAGTTCGATCCCCGGTACTGATAAAAAGGAAAAAGACAAAAAAAAAAAAGTAAGCAAAGTACAAAATTCAGGCCCCTTTGCACTTAGGAAAGTACATTCTGAGATGAGCGTAGTGAAAAAGTGAGTTTTTAACTTTTGAAATGATTTTGAATTTGGTTTTTGAATTTTTTAATATACAGCAGATGGTTCACTGAAAAGAACTTCCTCTTTTGCCTTTATTCTCATTCCTTTTTATCTTGTGCTAAAACAAAACTTAGGGTGCCTGCTTTTAAGCTTCCATAGCTACAGTGGTATTTCCTGTCACACAATGGAATTGGAATCTCCTCCCTCCACTTCCTTCGTGTAATAATTTTGTGTTTATCTTGCTGAGTGCATTACTAGATGGTTTCTCCTGTGGTGATTTAATTTTCTTATTAAAAATAACCTATGATATTTTATTACCAAATAGCTTACATGATAATATAAATTGTTTATAATACCATCATTTGAATGTTATAGAAAACAGTCCTTAACACTGGTTAGTTTAAAGCCAGGGCAGGGCATGATGGTGCGTGCCTGTAATGCCAGCTCTTTCAGGAGCTGAGGCAGGAGGAGTGCAACATTGAGGATAGTCCTGGCAACTGTCTCAAAATGTTACCGATACAGCTCAGTAGTAAAGTGTTTTTGAGTTCATCCCTAGTACAAAAAGAAAAAAAAAAGATCAGATTGGTTAGTGAGTTGAGGAATTAACTCTGGGCCAAGTATTTTATTTATTCATTTTTAGATAAGGCCTCACCAAGTACAGGCTGAACTTGAAATTGCTGGTCAGCTGCCTCAGTCTCTTGAGTAGCTGGAATAATGCTTATGCCTTAGAAAGTCAGGCTTTTTTTTTTTTTTTTTTTTTAAGACAAGGTTTCACTATGCAGTTCAGTCGCCTGGCATTGAACTCACTTTGAAGGCCAGGCTGGCCTCCACCTCACAGTGATCCTCCTGCCTCAGCCTCCCAATTGCTGGGATTATAGGCATGTGCCACCATGCCCAGCCAGCTTTTGTACTTTTACACAGAGCAGTTTGTTGTAACTGTCACGTGACTGCTATTGGTCATACATGCAGGGTCCTGATAACACAACGTAATTGAGTTTTTAATGCTTATGAAATGCTATGGAAATTTCTCTTGGTATGTAAGGTGTTACCTTAAAACTCAGGATGCTGTGGAGCAAGACGTGAGGCTTTATTTAAGCAGCACACGAAGTTTGAGAGTAACTGCAGTCTTACGATAAGGTAGAAGGGACGGGAGGTGGACAGGTTCGTCATGTTATGATCGTCCTTACTGCTGCTCCTCTCAGCTGTCGCTGTCCCCCCTCCTCTGCTGCCTGCCTTTTGCCGTTGAATTTGCTGTGTGGAAAGCGGTCTGTGTTTCAGAGTTTGGGCCCTCGAACTGTCTTATAGTTACTCTCTAATTTTGGTCTTGAGAAAAATGTTCAATTTTATAGAATCTGATTGAAATTACTCTTAATTCACAGGGTAATTTTATCTGGATGGTGGCACTTTAGAATGCAAGTTTCCCAATTTTCATTTATCTTTTTTGGTTTGAGAACAGTGTTTAAGACTATTAGGATCTCTTGATTAGTATCTCTGGGCTTTTGAAAATAATTGGCATAGTGTTAAATGTTTTTTTAAATTGTTCTAATGGGTAGGTACAGCAGAGAGCACCATAAATGATTAAAGGTTTAGGAAAGCTCAGGGTCTAGAATTATTTTGACATATTAAAGAGAAGGCTGAAAGGGAAATTTAGTCATTCTTGCTGCAGCTTTAGTTTTCTGAAGATTTTTAATTAAGATCTGCTATTGTACCTGAAGACAGCTGTTTTCCAAGCAGGAGGGGAGGTAAAGATCTTTCTTGAGCTTTGAGATAGTCGTGGTTCGGAGAATAAGTGTGTCATGTACTGGCAGAGCAGGGTAAAAAGCTAAAGTTTAGTTCACTCTGTGAAACAGGTATGCTAGTCATGCTACTCATGCTCGTCCTGCTTCATAGTGCTCAGTGAAACAACACTCATAAATCTCCAGAATGCTGACTCACACACGACACACATGCAAAGGCCAGCTCTTTTTGGTGTTTAGAGACAGTCTGCTTGTGTATTTCAGGCTAGTCTTGAATTCACTATACCCCAGGCTGGCCTAAAACTCCTTGCTGAATGCTAGGATTATATGTGTATACAGCCATGCCTGATTTCCCCAGCCCTTTTTAAAAATCCTGTTTGTTTATTTATTTTGTCTTTTCAAAACAGAATTTCACTGCAATTCAGGCTGGCCTCCAACTGGCACCAATCCTGCTGCCTCAGCCCCTTAAGTGCTGAGATTATAGACGTAAGCCACCATGTCCAACCGTCTTGTGCCTTTACATTTAATTATTAAGTAGTTGTTTCTGTCCTGTTTGGTGCAACAGCAACTAAGGAACCAGTGCACAAAAGATTGTTCCCCAAAATAGGTACCATATTTAATTTGTACATGTGCATATATCAGATACCACAGTTTAAAGAAAGAAATGGTTTATTTAGGGCTAATTTGTGGTTTCAGGGGATCCAGCCCGTAGGCAGCTACCAGTAGCTCCGAAGCAGAAACATCACAGCTAAGGGCACAGCAGAGCAATGCTGTGTCTCTCCTAGTGGCTGGCACGCAGAGCAGCAGGTGAGCAGCACCACTGGGAGATAGATGCCCTCCCCACGTGACAACAGGGCTCCACAATGTGGGTCCCACCTCCTAATAGCTATTTAGCCAAGAACATAAGTGGGTTGAACCACCGAAGAGTACTGTGTGGCATCCCCAGGACCCAGTCTCTGGGAATCTCTTAGTCCAATGAAGGCAGTAGTTAAACATCGCAGTGTTGGGAGTCAGGGCTCAATTTTGGAGTATTCTAGTCCTGGTTCCAAATTGGTTCACAGTCAGTTTAATTAAAAATAGTATGTTAAGATCCTTGCATCTACAGCCTAATGTTCAGGCAACTTCAAGTGGATGAAACCTTTGAAAGAAATCCGAACATTGGCACCCTTGAGACTAGAAATTGACTTGCACAGTAAGAGCATTGAGGAAGAGCAGCTGAAAAGTACTTACACGTCTGTGCTGTGACGAGGTAACCTGGAGAAAGAGTTGGCTGGCAGTGCTTTCAAAGGACGAGCCTTTTTCTGTATGCTGTATCAAAGTTGTAGAGGAGAGTGATCCGTAGTCTTGGAGGTAACCAAGCAGAGCAAGTTCCTATTTTGCAGATGTGGAAGCTGAAGTCCTGC